TCTCATGGTTTTTATTCAGGTTATCTGAGGTTTTTCGCATTACTGTACTCACTATATGCTGAGATGAACTGACTGGTAAAGAGATGTTGTTGAGCAGCTCTCAGAAATCCATTGTTTGTGATCTGTAAGTTAGTTGTCCAACATACCAAAAGGAAACTAATTTGGCATCTCCTTATAGCCTTATACGTGCGGCTAATAACACTGGTTACTTTCTAGTATCTATGCGGATGTTTACATTTGGTGCTTAGTTAAAACTGTGCAAAATGAATCTTTTTACTCCCAAAGTTCCCCTTAAAGGCAAGGTTAGGAAATACTGGAGAGTTACCGGATCTTGGTGAATACTTCAGAGTGAGTGGTCATTCGCAGCCGGTCACAAAGAGTTCTGTATAATTTCATGTTTGAGTGGTAGAGGTGAGAAATCAGGAATTAGATCGGCAATAGATCGAGATCCTATTCACGACACCGCTGGAATCCTGTATTCAGGATTTGAGATGTGGCATACATTGATGGTGAGGCTTTGTAGTATTTCAGACAAATATATCTGTTGTCTGATTTTGATCCAGGTGTTTCCGTTGAAAGTTGAAAGCATAGCTTTTATAGTTAGCTTCAGAATAACCTTTATGGGGATAGAGAAAAAAAACTAGTCTGGATAGGGACCAATCAAAATGTTTTTTATGTTGTCACGTCTATAGTTAGACAGACAGACGATGGGTCAGCCAATCAATAGTATTGTTTTAAACGGTGACCTATCTTATATTAGATATACTTTCCTTTGTTCTTGTCTTCGGTCTTTCGACTCCAACACACGTTTCTACATGGCCATTGTACCTTCTCCACTGATAAGTTGTTTTGGGAGTTTGTTGAATGTTGGTGGCTTAAAGTCGATATCTATGCATCGTTAGCGGCTATAGCAGTTTTCGAACCATAACAATAACAGAGTCAATTTTGTTAGCTGTTTTGAGCCTTAAGATAATATAGGCAAGCTAAAACTTTCGATAATGGTTAGCTTGTTAGCCGTGTAACGCGTTCGAAATCTTATTCACCTTCCAATTTTGATCTCTAGACTGCTTCACTTCTTCGTTGTCCAGCTCTACCGTTTGTCAGTTATCTTTTATTGTTAAATGTAAGTACACTCTGTGTACTTGCTGAGTCATCGGCTTACCTTTTTCTCTTCCTCTTTTTCCTTCCAAACTCTCGTGGCCACCACCAAACTCACACTGCACTACGCGCCCCCTGCAACAACGTACATATCTACAGACTAGACGAAAACCTATCAACAGCTGGTTGTTGCAGTCCCTGTCACATATCTCACTCCAGTTTTCATATAATGTTCTCGAAATACTGTTGCTTTCCTCATCATTCAAAACACTGCTGATTCACCTGCGTCACAGTGCGAAAACGGAAGATAACGCGAAGTATAAACTGGGATGCACTGACAAACCCTAACTGAAAGAAGCGGAGTAGTGGTCGGTGTATGACGTGGTGCCGTGGAATGGGGAAAAGTTACTTTAAGTCATCGTTTTTAGATGCCTAATGACTACCTGGATGGAGTTCGGGAGGTATCATGCCTCAGTGGCTTGATATAATAGCGGAAACTGCACAGGATCGTAATCAGTTACTTCGATTATCGAAAAGTAAAGTGGAAAAAGTAAACATTCCTAAGAATGTATCTTTGAAACTGTTTCCTTAATAATCTTTTTATACTTTTTCCCTATGCACTTTTCCATTCCTTCTTTCTGTATTACCTTTACGTTTTTTAATGCAGCCATTTTATCTTGTTTATGCAGCGTCTCTCAGTTCCTATGCTGTGCCAAGTGTATGCTTTAAAGAAAAAGGAAGAAAATCAGTTACTGTGTTTCCATGTTAGTTTGCTTATTTTATATGACAAGTAGTGATACAATATTACTTGCTGGAGTATGATTTTAAATATCTTTATTTGTCCGTAGTCATACCAAGTTAAAGTATAGCGTCTAAACTTCGTTATTGGACTTCTAGGACTCTTGCTTTCTTGGTGACAGTATACTTTTTCAGTCATTTTTGCTACGCATATAAGATGCCGGTTAACCGGAGTAGATGTTCAGTAATTAAACGCTACCTCCACTAGTTTGTGGTAAAGGTGTACGGATGATGTGTGTACTGTACTGTGATGAGATTTTATACACAGCTGATTCATTAGTACAGACTAGGTAGCAAGTGCAATCGAGTTCCCTTATAAGTTAGAATATTAGAATACCTATCTTTGACTAATAATTAAAAAGCAAAGAATACAGTGATTTAGATACTAATATTTACTTAGGAACATCACATCCTGACGGTCAGTTAAGTTTTGGATCACCTTGTTAAGGCCATATTAGTGGAATGTCAGTGTAATCGAGTTGCAGGTTAGACTAGCACTTTTGAAAATCTGAATAAGGTGTTCAGGTATGCAGAATAATTAGTTTGAAGGTATCCTAACCGGTAATGGACTGGATGGTTTGAAAAAACTTGGGTACCGGGTTAGTATGATTCATTGTATAGGATGTATTTTTACTCGTGTAATTCCGGCGTAGTATATTAGAACAAATAACAAAATAAACAAATATTTTGTATTATTCCTCAACGTTTCGATCTTGCTAGGAAGATCTTTTTCAAGAGTATGAATCTGACACTAAGTTTTCAGGTTACTATTCAAGTTTTGGTACAGAAAGTGGTGACCTTTACAATCATTCAATTACATAGTGATATGGAGCAAAAATCGATGTAATACAGGTAAGTGAATAAGCAACTCGGTCAGAGAGGTTTTTCCGTTGTGCGAGTAAGGTGGAACAAAAATAGGGTGGGGAAATTTTTTAGTTCGTCTATGAAAAGTACAATGGGGTGAGAATGAGTAGATTACTAGTTTGGAAGGATGAATATTTGAAGATGAGACAATATATTTAGTAATGATTAGCAGTGGAACAATATATCTTAAATAAATAATAATAATAATGATAACCATAAATATAATTTTGATAACACTTGAAGTATGAGTGGTAACAAAATGGATTATGTTATTCACTCACCTGTATTACATCGATTTTTGCTCCATATCACTATGTAATTGAATGATTGTAAAGGTCACCACTTTCTGTACCAAAACTTGAATAGTAACCTGAAAACTTAGTGTCAGATTCATACTCTTGAAAAAGATCTTCCTAGCAAGATCGAAACGTTGAGGAATAATACAAAATATTTGTTTATTTTGTTATTTGTTCTAATATACTACGCCGGAATTACACAAGTAAAAATACATCCTATTACAATGAAGCAGAATAATTAGCTTACAAAATTCATTTAGGAATTTAAAAGGTGATAAAAGATGTACATTAAGTCATGAAGAAAAGAAGGAGTAATTCAGTGAAGGAAATTTTCTCGCTCAGACATATAATTTTCTAAAAGACTGTACAATCGTCTTTTATGTCTCACAAACCTGCTATTGAATACATATTACTGAATACTAGAGTATGGGTTCAGAATTGAAATGAAGAGTGGAACGGATTAGCTCAGTAATCTGTTAGAAGTTGCATTTGAAGGTGAAGACAGGGAATTAACCACTGTATTAGAAATCATATTCATATAAATAACTATCCTTTGAAGCGTCATACATTGAGTTTCATCGATAAAATGAAGTCGCGTTTACCTGAATTAGAACCTCATTTGTCGTTGCGATCTCATGCACGATTCTATTTGCCGGAAGATGAGCTTGTTCATTTCCTAGACTATATCATGACGGTGTCAAAAGGTCGTTGAGAAGATATCATTCTGAAGTTGATAAAATGTTCGCGCTTTCAAGAAGCTCCGGGATAATCCGTATTCAGCTACTCCAGACTACATTTGATTTCCATTCAAATTCAGGCGTTATCTTTGAGTCTAGAGTTTTTGATACTTTTGCAACTATTGATAACCTCTATATAAAAGTCCAGTTTGAGAATTTGATGGATCAAGAAAATGCTGTCCTACCAGTCTCAAACCAAAGTTTCAAACGGTTATGATCAACTTTCTCCAATATCCTAACACAAAGCAATATTATAACCGACAGTTTTTAAAAGTGCATAAAACGCAATTGCACAATAAAAGTTGCTAGTGTTTTCCTCAATAGGTTGTCTAAAGTGCAATGTTAAAGTATTACCGATCTTATCAGATAAGAGTAAGTTTTCAAGAAACGGCACCAAAGGATGCTACCGAGAAAAACTGAACAATTGCTTATTCGTAAAAAGTGAAAGATAAATCTATCACCATCTCTGAACTCTACGAGCGACTACGATAATCTGATTCCGTAAATCCTCACCAGTATGGTATCCCGAAAGTACACAAAGCTCTTCGGCGTCAAGTTTCGAATGTGAACCAGGTTATCACCAGAAGACTATCGGATATCCTCCAGCCTGTCAAGAAACAGTTATACACAATGTGTTGAGTGTTTTCGACTTTACTCAGTGAGTGAATAACGCCAATAAATCCGGCTAGCAGATGATTTCTCTGGAGGTGATTTCTGTTTCTTTGAGCGTAGACTTCAAACTTAACAGCAAGCTGTACAGAAAAAAGGGGATAATGATCGGGTTACCACTTAGTCCATTGTTAGCAAAACACTGTGTAACAAACCTGGAAAATGGTGTGCTCGACTGCATAATTAATAGTTTCTACCTATGCAAGAGGTTCGTGGATGATTCATTCATCATATACAATGAAAATACTTGCGTTGAGGTCATAATCGATAACTGAAGAAATTATCATTAGGCAAGCTACTAAACCACTTATAGAGAAATATTGACAACGCACTTCATACTGAAGTTAGTACTGAAGATGTTGTCTAGCGGGACGATGAAAGCTCCTTGACTAAACAACCTACCTCGGAACACAATGCAACTAAAAAGATGGTGACCTCTTCAATTTTTAGCACCATCCAGTTTTCTCTCGACTCAGTTTTCACTTGTCGAATTATGGTATAGATGTACAATATACATCAGTATTTCCTATAATAAACAGTCGCCAGACAGTCAATTGATTTAATTTATTAGTTAAGACAACCAACTGAATTTACGAATTACTCTATGTGAATAGACTGAACAGCTATTTTGTTGTAATACAATCAACCAATGGCATGTGGCTATTCAATTCTGTCTCTGATTGGTTAATGAATAATTTGATTAGCGTATGCGTATACATGTCTGCGTTAAAGACATTGGGATTCAGGTTGAATTGTTCACTCGCAATGCGACGCGTTGTTATTCAGTGTCGAAATGACGAGGATATACCAGTACTGTTGGAAATAATCAATTCAGTAAGCTTGATTTTTCAGTGTTATTGACGAGGTAAACAAAAATAAGAGTGTTTAAAACTAGACTGTAAACGGAATCTTATCAAAAATCTGTGTAGATAGAATGTACACGTTTTGCCACTTGTGTTATGAAAGGTATCAGAGATAGAGAGATTGTAAACACCTCTGATTATTCATCACAAGCAAATTTAACATGAATGCTTACACTTAGTAATCAGTAGTATTTCGAGCACGGCTACTATCAGTGATCATAACAACAGTTAGAACTTTAGTCATACATTTATTGATCGGTTTTCTATAGCCAACATCTTAGTTTGGGGAGTAAGTTAGTCTCATATTGAGGGTAAATAATCTGAGTCACCTTTGTTCATGTTTTATTACTTGTGAAATTTATGATTATGGATTAGGTTATTAATCTTTTTTTCCATGTTTTCACATATGACTTTGGTGTATTGGCATTGTTCCAATCTGTAGCACGTTTTTGTCGCATATGTGTGCTGTCATGGACGAACTCTTTCTTAAGTGTTTTTACTTGTGTCTGTATAGGTTGGCCTATGATTAGTCTTCTGTGTTCACTCAGTCTGATCTTGAATGGTCTCAAAGTTTGGCTTACGAAATTAACAGGACATTGACACATTACGTTATGTTTACCTAGTTCGTCAACTGGATCTTTGAAGTAGTCTGATTTAATTTCAGTGAAGTTCGTTGGTTTGAAAGTAGTCTGAATACCTGCTCTTTCCAGATTTCTTATTGCTTCTAAAGTACTTCGCTGATGTTATACAGCAAATACATTCTTCACTTACTTCTGTTGATAGTTTCTGTTTTGTCCTAATAACCTCTTTTATGAATATAAATAGATAGTGGTTACTGAACAACATTTTGATTAAAATGTTCATTTTTCTACATCTGTCTTCGGAGTATGTTGTTAGAGTATATACCCCATTTGCAAGACTTTGAACTAACCCTCATTTGACTGAGATTGAATGATTTCAATGAAAATCCAAGGAAGCTTACTGAATGCATTGATTTTTATTAAATCGTAGTTTATTAACTATTATCCAACTTTCTTTCGGTTTGACAGTCTAACTTAGTTCACCGAATTCTTTTCCTATTTCTGCAGTGAACTTGATAGCTTTTGTATGATTATTTGTATGTCCATAGAATTTTTCATTATGACCAGCTTCAGTTAGACTTCAGAGATGATGAAAAAGTTGTAATTCGCTTGAAGATGGCTAGCAGTGGGATCCAGGAGGCAAGTTTCGTCCTATGCGAGACTCGTCAGCTGAGTGTGTCTGGGCCCAAGTGGTTGATGTTGTTCCCACTGGAACTCGAACCTATGACCGATCACTTCAAATTCCATCCATCACATCACTGAGGCATAACAGCAACCTCTTGTGAAACGGGTATTAGTCATTATTATTCAAATCTCATTGAGGATGACACCAATCACTTGAATGCAGGTGAATCTATCTGACGAGTTTAACATAGTATGAAGTGCGCGTCCCAGATCCCATTGCTAGCCAACACCATGCAGATTACAACATAATGAATAATCAAGCAGTATCAAGTGATCCACATAGGAGCTAATATCCCAACTTAGGTCAGTCAGTTCAATTCAAAGTAACAGTGAAAAACTGCAAATATCATTGGGGTATGAAATTATATCACCTTTATATAACACTTCGCTTTTATCTATGGTTAAGGAGCTGCCTTACGGAACACATCTTGAAGATGTAACTTGAAGAATATCCAGAACGGCTAACTGTGATAGAGGTGTACACACAGGTTGTCTGTTAATTTTTCATTATACTAGCTTAAAATTAATGATTCTCCGACAATACATGTGGCTGAAAGGATAAGGGTGTTTTACTCACCATAGGCATATTATAGGTATTTGACTAAGAAGTAACAGGACTGGTTAGGTTACAAGTTAATAATTTTGGTCAGCTTTATATACCAGACTTGAGAATGGGATTATGATAATAAGACGTGCTATTTACCAAACTATACTGATCGTAAGACTTATTTAGTAGTCGAAATGTATATCAAAGAATGCTGTTTCATATTTTACTATTGTGCGACATGAACTCTGACATAAGTTAGCAACAAGTTTTGGTGTCTTACAGGTGCTATTCGTTTGAACCAACAGACAAATTTTTGAATAAGATGCATGGTTCTGAGTGGGTAATATTAATCTGTTCATGAGGTTTTGAATTTGTATCTATCTAAGTAGTTACTGTGTGTAGTGAGAACATCTGACCACCGAATACTTCGGCTGTCAATTAAAAAAAACAGGATCAGGAAATAAGAAACTTTACATTAGCTCAATCATGTTCAGGCGTCAGACCACGAAGCTATTGACGTGCTTCGTTTCAGAAGTTGCAGCTTCACTGGTTAATACCAGTAGGAGAAAAAGGACTAATAGCTGGCGGTGTTTTGTAATATGACCAGAAAAATACACTAGTAATCGCGCTGGTTGCACTTTTCTTTCATTTGAATATTCGCCAACCCACCGGTCAAATTCGCCTTATTGCATCTCTGTTTTATCACTCTGATATTCGTATTCCCCTGTTCTTATTGTTGTCAGTGTATTTTATTTAACCTTTGAAACTATTGTGTTCAATATGTTGATGTTAACTGCATGATACCATATTCATACACTTATAGGAATTAGACAAGTACCTAAGTCCAAACTGACTACAAGATGTCCATTAATAAGGTTAAGAAACCAATTGATATGCAATTGGTTAGCTTCCCACATATAAGACTCTCTTGACCTTTATAATGAATATTAGTTTAGTTACATAGAAAGACTGCTTTACATTAATTATGCTTGACATTATCAACAGTGGTGCTGCTATTTTCTTCCCAATCAACATAAAAGTTGTACCTATTTTCTCTTATTTGAGTGGAGACGACTGTAACTATCATTTTTCTACTGACGCCAGGGAACCTGATGAATTTTTGGGCATATTTATTGGACTGAGACCTGTTATACGGACACAGAAAGCTGAATTTCGGCGGATACTTCTAGTTCGATCTACTGAAAAACAAGTCAGTAGTGTGAATTTAAATCACAAAATCTCTGAGCACAACTGTCGTACAACAAACTGTTTTATTCAGAACTAGCATGTACAAACTTAAGTGGCCAGACCACCGTTATATGACACAGTCAAACTGATAATTAAATGGGATGAAACGACTGTTCATGGACATTAATTTTTTTGGTTATAGTTCAAACGTTATATATTTTAATAACAAGGCTTAGTATTCATTTTACAAAGTAAACTTCTGAAAAGCATAAGCGATTTGGAACCACTCATACTGGTCTACAGATTTCCTTTGGTCTTATCAGATCAGCTCCTCTTAGAAACTCGATTTTCTAAGCAAATCGTTTGGGAAATTCATCGCAAATGGGAAAAGTGGCTGCCTGCTGTTCAGGCCACCAGGTTCCTACCATTAGCTGCTTTCTTGACTTAGTGGATGAGTTTGGCCCAATGACCTCTGCTGTTAAGACAGAAAGTGATTGCTCTCATAGTGACAAAACCAAGGTTATGATGAGGATTCAAGTACGGATTTATTCTGCTGGCCAGACAGGGTGAGAACTTCCTCTGAGGGTGACCAGCTTTCCACGCTGATGCTTCCCTCCATACAGGCAGGGGTATTTAGAAAATACTGACCCACAGAGAAGCACAGTCTTCTTTGCCCAGAGACATTTTGGTGGCAATTGCATAGGTTTCTATTGTACAGTCTTAGTACAAGCAACCATCAATCTAGGACGTCGTATGTGACAAGTCTCAGACAGATATGCCATGGACTCTGTGGTCATGTGAAAATAAACTGATTTTTTGTTGTTTTAGATTGCTTATAGAAGAAAATTGTATAGCGCAGGGAGCCAGGAAGTGTCAATCGCATGCCTATTTTCAGCACCATAAAAATCCAACTAACTAATCTACCTCCCTCACCATTTGTCTCCTTCCGTTTTTTCAACTCCTGGTATTAGTAATAAGCCTCTTACAACTTCCTCAAACTCTCACCCTGCGATCATTGCCAAGGATTCAAGAAAGCAAAACCTTAAGTCTAGTCTTTCAGGACCACCCTGCCAATTTGGCATTGAAGCTTTCAATGTTACAAACCTATGTCAAATTAGGTCACAGGCGTCTCTACAATCTGGAGTCACAAATGCATGGTTTGCTCCTGAGACACGCATACAGGATCTTAGTATGACTATTCACTTGACATCACCTGATCAATGTGGTGAGTCTGCAAGAGTCGCTAAGTGTATGTCCAATTACTTGACCGCTAGCTCCTATAGGCCAACTGGTGTAAGTATAGGATTAGGCTGTAGAGCAGAAAGCGTACTCCTTGACTGCATCCTAGTCAACAGTTGTCTCTGTGCTGTCTAACGTATCGGATCTGTAAGAACTGGAAAGGGTCATGACACTTCGTGATCCCTACTCGTAAATTCCGTCTACTAGCCGACTGACTGCAGTTCGGATGATAAAATGGATGATCTCCATAGAAAACTGTCAATTTAGCTACATAGAGCAAAATGTTCAGATATAGTCATACAAGTAGGCGGCTTCGGGTACTCAAAGCTGCTCCATTCCTCAAAGCACTTTGAAGGTATCTACGGTGTCCAGTGTCAACGAACTGATGACAGGCATAATCTCTCAAAATCTTATTACAACAATCACTTGTTTCTGACCAGCATCAAATTCAAGTATAAGGACAATATCTCACTTGCTGTCTACCGAAATCAAACCAACGATGGACATAGTTAGATCACATTACTTTTGGCATATAGCCATCGTTGGGAAGGATCATTGGAAGATTGTCGATCTGTTTTGGTTGCCTACTGGACTGCAAACTTATGTTGATATGGATACGTGAATGTTTGCACCTTACTGGTCGCGGGGACCGGATGGCAGGGAAACCTTTGGATAATAAACCGGGAAATGAGAACGTCGGATGTGCATTTAGGAAGGAGAGAATAGCTAAGC